TCGCTGGCTTGGTCTTATTACCACACGGATAATGCAGTGGAGCACCGCTCCTTCCCAAGGGCTAATTCCTAGCCTCCCGTTCCTACACATGGACCATGTCAAGCCACTGAGCTCTGCCCTGGTGCCAATTCCCCATCACAGGCTGTCTCAGCCCTGCAGTGGCGAGTCCCCTCAGAAAGGGGCTCTGCTAACGGGCTAAAATTATCACACAATTCCTGTACAGGCATACCCAGTCCTGCCCAAGGATCTGTACAAGCAGCCCCCTGGGTTCACACAGCAGACAGGGCTGTCGCTGCAAGATGTCAGCACAAGATGGATTGCTGGAAAGACATGCACTGTTTCCTCAGACCCTGAATTTCAAAAGCTGCAAATCTGCCACACTTAGCAAGACAGGCGGTGCCGTGACGGTACCAGCCCCCTCACGCACGATGCAAGTCCAGAATCGCGGCTCAGCGCTAGGGAGGCATCTCTGCTGTGCTCTCAGGGAGACATTTCAGTGTCTCTTCCAGTTTAAATGGCTCTGAGCTACTTGGAAACATGCCACATTTTAAACATTCTGTGGCTCTTAGATGCATCGTACAATCTACAGTGTATACCCCAGAATCTGACCTTGTGCAAAACCAAATAAAACATTTAATAAGCCTCATGGCCTTGGTGCTAAGAGCTGTGTTCGCCGTTGTGATGGACTTTGAGGGCCGCCACATGGTGTGGAAGAGTGTGCCCCAAAGACACCCTCATCCCAGGGTGTGCCACTTCTGCCTGTGAGCGTTGCATTTATCATCCCCGTGATCATGCTTGTTCTGCGAAATATAATGGCTCAGTACACACTGTACAGAATCTCTGCACAGACGTCAAAACACAGACTGCTTCGAATTCACATGCTGTCAGTACAAAAGCTACTTGAAGCAAGATTTCAAGAACTATTGAATATCAGAACAGACTTGTGATAGCTGCTTTGTCCTCAGCAATTACTCAGCCTCAGACGACAAACAAAATCCTGGCTGGATGTTTTTGAGTCTTAATCTTTCTAACGTTTCTGGACTTGAAGGGGATTATCTTTAAAAGTCTGCAGAAGGCTTTAAGTTGCAGTCTATGGTAATCAAAACGAGCCTTATTTCTGCTCCCCTTCTTTGGGAAGCCCCAGCTGTTGGCTTTTTTGGCCTCACCCCTTCACCCATTTCTCCTTTGCACGCTACAGAGCCCCTGGGTAGAACAGTCAGAGGACTGTGTAGACGGAGGGTCTGGATGTGATCGCAGGCACGGCTGTCAGGGGCATGGTTTGAACACAACTGTCCTCAGCCCGGCCTGGGAAGTCAGAAACCCAGCCCAGAGCTACCCTGGTTCCCGTGAACTTTTACCCGGATGCACAAGCAACTACAGAAGAATTTTAAAGAAATTTTAAAGAATTCTTAAAAAGCTTTTCTGATGGAAACTTAGGTGGGAACTGGGAACTCAAAACCCTCCCCACTTTTTGAAAACCAGTCATCCTAGGTAAAGCTTCGGACCCAGGAGACATGAGAGCAAACCCAAGCTCTATCACTCAGGCAAATCACTTTTCTCCCCAAGTCTTGGCCCACTCACCCATCCCAGAGCGGGTGTGAGGGTTTAATGAATAATATAAAGAGTTTAGCACAGCTTTGCTCTGTACCAGGAGTTCTATAAGTAACTACTAGTGATAATAACATATTCTGATTGTGGCTTCCGCAGAATTGTTTTTAGGTACCTGTCTCTCTGAATTCTGCCTAACCAGATCTAATTAATGCCGACAGTCTGGAAGTCTGTTTCCTATTAGCCTTCAGTATTCCTTTTATAACCTTAAATGTCATCAATTCCACTTTATAGGCTAAGCAATAATCCTGATGAACTATTTATTAGCTAGAAAAAGCATATGGTTTGTGCATATGGATGAAATACTGAAAACTTTCCCCTTGGGAATTCCTTTTCAATGTGTTTGCAATGTGTGGGGAGAGTAGAAAAATGACCGTTTACTTTATTTTGAAGATTTTAAGTGTTGCCTGTAAGTATGTTATGTAAACCATGGAATTTTAGAAAAAATAAATGATAAAAAAGATATTGGGGGGCATCCATTTTAAACATATGCAATATCCAACTCCAAAATTTCATTCTGCTGTGGTCA